GGAAATTATACCAGCTACGGCCCTACCTGGACGAGCGGAGTCTCATGACAGTTACACATGCACTGGTAATATCTCGCATAGATTACTGCAATGCGCTGTACATGGGGCTGCCTTTGAAGATGGTCCGGCAACTGCAGCTGGTCCAGAATTGAGCTGCATGGCTGGTGAGTGGTGGGGCCGCTAGGGAACACATCAAGCCGATTCTGTTTAAATTACATTGACTACCAGTTGCTGCCTGGGCCCAATTCAAAGTGCTTGTTTTGACATATAAAGCCCTAAACGGCTTGGGCCCTGGATACCTGAAGGACCGCCTCCTTCCTTATGAACCTGCCTGGCAGTTAAGATCTAGCCAGGGGACCCTTTTGAAAGAGCCTTCCCTCAAGGAGGTAAGAGGGATGGCTTGTAGACAAACAGCCTTTTTGGCAGCTGCCCCCAGACTATGGAATGCCCTCCCAACTAAGATTCGTCTGGCACTGACGCTGACGGAATTTGGTGCCAGGTCAAAACCTTCCTGTTCCACAAGGCTTTTAATTGAAATAATATCAACTGTGGGTCCTGATGGCAATTTTTAGAGTAAATATTTTAATTGTATTTTAATTGTTTTATCTGTTTAAACTCTATTTTAATTATTGTAAGCTGTCCAGAGACCTTTGGGTAGTGTGGGTGGCATATAAGTTAAATAATAATAATAAATATAAAAATAATGGAGCTGAGCACTGTGCAGTGAATGTTGGGTGGACTGGCCAGTTCTGGAGAGAGGGAATGTGTCTTCGTGGCACCTATGGTGCTGCTATTTGTATTCGTATCCCCAGGGATATGAACACCCCACATCTACTTTAATCACAGTAATAAATTGAAACCACACTGTCTGATACTATGAATCCTTTTGATGCAGTTCCTTCCTTCCTCTCTCCCTTCCTCCCTTCCTTCCGCAACAGTTGGCTTTTGCTGAACTGAAATGCACAACATGGACAACATGAAGGTTCTGCCTTTGGAGATAAAATTTGTGATGGCTTATTCACACATGCAAATTACTTTACAGTCAATAAGTGACAAATGTGGAGGCAGGAGCCAATCTCCAATCATGTGATTCTGTAAAAATAGTTGACAAAGCACATTGTTGACAGAGAATGTTACCAGCATTTGGGATGCACCAACTAACAGCTTGAGAAGGTTAATGCCAGTCTTATTCATTCCAGTACACAAAGTACTTCTCTGATTACTCACAAACAACAACAAAAAAGAGTAAATCTCAGTTCATATCAGAAGCTGCATCAATCTCTAATAAATGCATTCTAAATGAAACCCAAATAAAATCCAGAATAGTGTTATGTATCAGTTCCAGTTTAACCTAAATAGTTTTGTTTCCTCATTTCATTTTACCTGGTAAGCTTCATCCTGGAGCTTTTGTTTCAAATATTCCTCCATCTTGAGCTCATTTTCAAGCTGGCGGACAGAATCATTTTCATAGTTCTCATCATCTGCTCTGACATAAGGGTCTCCATCTTCTGTAACCCTAAAGACAATTATTAATAATAGCTTCCTAAAATAAAAAGAAACACTGAAATTCCCTAAATGTTATGCTATCTTCATAAATTTTGAAAAGAAAGGACAGTTTTGTGCATTTTCTTCAACCATGTATGTTCTTTTAAAACTTACCATTTACTTCAGTGTTAACTCCACCAGCCTAAGTAGGAGTAATTGTAGATGTAAATTGTAATGTCCTTCATTCATCATCAATGCAATTGTCGTAGTCATTGGTATGAAGAGATTTCTACCAGCAGTGCATTTTTGAACATTCGACATCATCAGAATTCAACTACAAGCTCAGACTGGAGGACTACCTTCTAAACTATATCCTATTCCAGGGGTAGGCAATTAATTTCTATAGGGGGGGGCACATGAAAAATCTGAACTGTGTTCGGGGGCCGAACCAACTTTACTTTAAAATGAAGCAGGCTGAAAATTAAATTAGAGGTTAATTCCTGCATGTAATAAACCAGCACTTCATGAAGACAGATCCTTCCCTGCTCCTTTCCTGCTATGTAGATTTTTAATTCCAGTAGTTTTTTTAAGCATAGGTGGTGTTTTTTAAATGGACACCTCCTCCTACATCTGCAGTCTGAAACTGTATGGTTGAGGAAGGATTGAATTATTTAGTTCAATATGTAGGTCAGCTACCAGTGTCAGCTCAGCACTACTACTGCTCTCTGCTTCTAGTTTGGGGTTTGGAATGCACAGCAGAGAACACAGGAGTAGTCCTAGAGAAAGAAAAGTACTACTTTATTTAAAATAAACTCTTGAGTGCCAAAAGCTAACAAAGTGGACCGTATTGGTTGAACTCATTCTTATCAAATGTATCCCTGGTAGAGACCAGGAGACAGACTAGATTCTAGGGATAGTGAGTAATAAAATAACATTCCTGATGCCTAGCAAGTGAACAATATATTGACTGCTGCACATTATAAATGCCATACAGAGACCAGTATCCTAAAGGCTGTTTTCAAAATGATGAGCAACTGAATCAGAGTGCAATCACAGCACCTCCAAAATGAGTCACAACCTATTAGTGTACCCAGTGTCTACTGTAGTGATGCCAAGCATTAATGAAACTCTATATTCACATTTAAATTCAGATGAATGTCTCAGTCTTTAGCCAAAAAGAAAGAGAGAAAGAAAGAGAGAAAGAGAGAAAGAGAGAAAGAGAGAAAGAAAGAAAGAAAGAAAGAAAGAAAGAAAGAAAGAAAGAAAGAAAGAAAGAAAGAAAGAAAGACTATCTTTCCCTCCTCACAAGGGATGAAATGTCTGAACATGCCCAATATGGAAATACTCCTCTTTGGCTACAGTCATCAATTGCCATATTGCTCTTCCTGTCAAGGTCACAGCCCTAAATTCACATTCCTACTTTTTGGTAAATATTCATCAGGGGTTTCAGTTCTGAATTTCCAATTTAAAATTCTATTTTAAACTGCATTCTATTCACTAGACCAGACCTTCCAATTCCTTTAAAAGTGGACTTAAAAACAGTAAGATTTTACTGATATTTCTGCCTAAATTTTCAGTTAAGAAAGCAACTCCATGTTGCATGCATATACTAATAATAATCATGTCCCTTCAGTCTTGACTTATGACAACCCTTTTGTGGGTAGAGAAGAGGTTTAACATTCCCTTCTTTTGGGGGTGTCCTGGGATCTGTAGCTTGCCCAAGGCCACACAAACCAGCTCTTCTTCCTGGAGGCACAGTGTGGAATCAAACTCCCAACCTCTGACTCTTCAGCCAGTACCTAACTCACTGAACTATCCAGCCAGTATGCATATATTACAATTGCTTATTGTCATGTCAAGGATGATAGAAGTTAATTGTTTGGTCCCTAGTTCTCAGAATCTCACCGCTATCATGGTCATTGGCTCTGGTAATTGTAGTCCAAAGTTGTAGGATAGTAACTTTTCCAAATTATGTGTGAGGTTCCTCATGAATGCGAAAAGGTAATCTACAATGTGTAACAAGAGATAAAGGAAAAAAACACACACAGAATAATGAAAAGAAGAAAGAATACAGAGAGGGTACCCACATATCACTGCGGAGGGTTCCACTAGCGGCTCCACTGTGAAGGTAACCTGGCTTTCGGGCATGGATCTGTGCAAGGAAAGCCTTTTCAGAAGTTGGTGATGGAACAAGGTCATCAAAATGAGTCCGGCCAAATTCAGAATCCACATTACTTTCTGTCTCACTTCCAACTTCTGTGGGAAGAGGAAACGAGATAGTGGTACCATGGTTACCTGAATGTTAGCATGTTTCTCTCCTAATTTCAGCATAGAATGATTTTACATTGTTATCTGGTAGTGCTAAAAATATGGTTTGTGCATATTTCTGACTACAGACCTAGTTGCCTCACTCCTGTACTGTTCACACAGATTATCGGTTATGTATGTGTGTATGCATATATGTATTGTACTTAGAACAGTTGTAACAAGGTCTATTTTGTGAAATCTTAGAGTGAAACAATTATAAGAATTTAAAACCCATAGAGCAATTTAAACAATTTAAAGACTTTTAAAGACATTAAAACCATACATGAATACAAAGCCCACATCATACAAGTAGCAACTTATTAACTAGTAGAAATTCATTGCTATAGTTTACAGGATTGCACATGTTGGTAAAAACAAGGAATAAGATTCTGATTGTTATGTTACTATTGCATGATTAGTGCTTTAAATAATCAGACCTGAGTTTAGTTCTTTCACCAGAGAAGACATGGTGTTGGTGATAGAATCTGCTGCTACCAGCAAGTCATTTCTTAGATTTCTTCTTGTACCTGAGATAAAAGAGAAGCAGGGCATTAAATACTCTAACCAAAACAAAAGACAAAACCCCCCGCCAAGACTAACGAACCAAACAAAACCCCCAACTACATCAATATTTCTAACCCTATGCAAGATTAACAGTCTGGAATATAACTGCAATATAACAAATGTTGCTTAGAGTTTCATGAACAGAGCAATATGAGAACCACGAGGAAAGAAAAATCACACTGGCTAGGGAAGAAGATAGTAATGGGGCAAATTTTCTGCCTTTTAAAACACACCCCAGAATTCACCACTGACCATGCATCTCACCATTACTGCTTGCCTTAAAACATAAGCTTAAAACACAAGCCTGGTGCAATAATAAAAACTATTTGCAGATTATATGAAGAACAATGGGAGAAGACATTATGGAACTGTAGGGAATTCCCTTTCCCCTTTATTACTAACCTATATCAATAGTGTATTAATGATTGCTCCTGAACACAACCTTATTGTGAGAAACGGTGACACATACAACATACCTTGTGCAAAAGCTTCCTGCACATCTCCACCCACACCTGTCAGAGAGTCCTGAGGTGTGTGGGCTGGGGTTGAACAGGCAGATGCAGATCTGATGGGCATAGGAATAGGCCGACTGATAGTGTGGCTGGGAGATGAGCGAGGGGAGCCTGCCCCTTGGGTCTGAAAGGAGAGGTTTGAGCAGTTACGACTTATATGAGAAGGCATTCCAATTATGCTGTTCTGTTATATATCTGCTATGGTCAGGAAGAATACCCACGGCATGCTGACAAGCAGTTTCATCCTAATGAAAAATGGATGCATCAAGCTGATAGTTAATAGGGTAAAAGCACACAATACTTTGAGAACCTTAGAGATAGATAGCAGAGAGGCGAGGTGGAGGTGAAGAGAAGAGGTGCAAGAGTCCAAAGGCTCAAGGTTCAAAGAAACATACTGATTCAAGTCCTCATATGTCTCAACAATACACAGGACATGTTTTTCTTGAGGACAAACCGTTTAATGGAGTGCATAGAAATCCAAGGGTTCTTTTGTGTTTGCATTAAGAAGTATTGAAAAGGAACAAAAATTGTTATTTTTCTCCTTTATCTGTCATTTCTGATAAGAGATGGTGGGGCAGGGGGGGGTGGTGGGAGCCCTAAAGAAGACAGAAAGGCACAGTGAAAACTTCCAAAAGGATCTCATAGGCAATGGCATCTAAATGGCGAATGTGACTTAGTGAAAGAAATTGCAAAGTCATGCACATTGCAGCAATAACAAAATAATCCCAAATTCAGATACATGCTGATAAGGACTGAACATGAGGTGTCTGAACAGGAACAGTTTTAGAACTGTGGTGAAAATGTAAAGACAGTGCACAGCAACTGAAAAAAAGACAAATTCAATATTTGGAATCATTAGGAAAGGAAAATAAAATTAACAATCATAGGGCCTTTATATAGCTGTGATCAGACACCAAATGTTATAAACTGTTCTGGCTGCCATAACTTAAGAGGGGGGAAAGACACAGAAAATGGCAGCAGAAATAATCAAGGTTTTCAAAACAACACTTATTGAAGATGGGATTATTATGTGTATGTGACACAGAATCATAAAGCCGGGGACTACAGGTCCCTACTTAACACCACAAGCATAGATCTAAGGCATCCATAATAGATGGCTGTCCATTCTTCATTCTATGACTTCCTCTCTCTCTCTCTCTGTGTGTGTGTGTGTGTGTGTGTGTGTGTGAGAGAGAGAGAGAGAGAGAGAGAGGTGTGTGTGTGTGTGTGTGTGTGTGTGTGTGAGAGAGAGAGAGAGAGAGAGAGAGAGAGAGACCATCCTGTCCTGGTAAATTACTTATTTGTCTAACTTTGTGCAATGTTAAGGCATTTCTCCCTATCACAGAATGACAGAATCACAGACCTATAAAGTTGGAAGGTCATCTATGCCAATTCCTGACAACTAAAATATTCCTGACAAATAGCCTTGTGATCTGAGTCCATTTGCCCAGATCCTACACTCTAGCGCTACTGAAAACAAGTTTGCGTCATCTTTCATGTGACAAACCTTGAATATTTGAAGACAGCTATCTTATCACTGAAGCCTGAACTATTTTTGGAGGCAAAAATGTTGAAACCAAGGTCATTGTAAGAAGGCAGGCTTCTCTGGAAAAGACAATAATGCTAGGAAAAGTTGAAGGCAGCAAAAAAAGAGGAAGATCAAATATGAGATAAATTGACTCCACAAAGGACGTCAGTGCCATGAGTTTGCAGGTGCTTAGGAGCTCTGTTGAGGACAGAGTATTTTGGAGATCATTCATAGGATTACCATAGGTTGGAGGCAACTTGACAGCACATAAAAAACACATGTCATATCACTAATGTTCAGCACTACTCTACCATTCTTTAACTGAAAATCCCATGAGATGTAAAGAAGTCTTTGCCTTCTTCTATGTGATACTACTTGAGGTATTCAAAAAGTGCTCACCCCCCCCCACTCCCAGGTCTTTTCTGCTTAGACCAATTAGCTAACATGCCCAGTTTGTATACTTTTTCCTTAGAGGGCCTGTTTTCTATACATTGCATCATCTTTGCTGCCCTCCTTGGAATGCATTTCAATCTCTTCACATCCTTCTGAGACCCAGATATAGATATGTTAACTTCTGATTAGTGCTTCTATACTGGCTTCACATCAGTGGCTACTTCTTATAGAAAGAATATTCAGTGTGATAACATGATGTCACACATGCAGAGATATTGCTGGGAAATGTAGAAGCAGTGAAGGTTAACTTTGCCCGTGTTTAACATAATGCACAATCTGGCCCTAAAATTCAGCACAAGTTGCTGTTGTTAAGTGGGAAATGGGAGAGGCAAACTCCAGTGTGAACATGCACAAACTTTACATGAGCTTAAGTAAGCTCTCTGAATCACGGCTGACGTGTTTTAAAATGGGTCATAACATACTTGGGGATCTGGAGTGCATTGTCTTTGTTATGCTGATGATACACAGCTCTGTTTCTTCTTTTCATCTAACACCAAGAAATCAGAAATTGCCTATCTAGATTATGTATAGGTCTGGGAAGTGGCCCAATAAGTCTGTTTTCTTTTTAAATGGAGTAACCCCCATTGAAGAATCAAGCATGCAGTCACTAGGTTCCTGAATTTATCTTCACACCTTAGTGGCCAGAAATGACTTTGCCTACTGCAGCATGGTGCATCAGCTGTAATATATGACTCAAATTACATCTAGACTGCATTGCTTCTATATGCTGTACAAGGAGTTACTGCTGAAAAATCTTCAGTAACCTCATCTGATTCACAATGTAGGGGGGCAAAGATGTCAGTACTGTATATGGGAATATATTATAACAATTTCTGCAACAGGTGGATTGGTTGCCCCCCCTTTTTTTCTGGGCACAATTCAGAGTAATTTTTAAAGCCCAAAGTGATTTTGGTGCAACATATCTAAAGAGGAAAATCTTTTTTTTTCTAGCAGCCTGTTCACAGTTCACAATCTGGTGGAGAGGCCCTTCTCTGTCCCCACCTATAGCAGAAACACAGTTGAAAGTGACCGTGTTGTAGCACCAGTGGTCGTGATGGCTGGAGATTCTGGGAACTATATGCCAAACCAACCAACCATTTCCAATTTCCGTGGAACACGTTAGCCAATGAGATTTGGCTGGTCCTCTCCCTCACTGTTTTCCACTAGCTGATGAAGACCTTTTCATTTGAGTAGGCATTTGTCTTTCAGGGTAAATGTGGTGATGACTTTTTTTATTGCATTTGACTGCTGCAGTGATTCTGTGTTATTACGTATAATGTTAACTGTTGTCAGCTGCCTTCAAAAAGGCATCAGAAAGATCAGGTACAGTTTTCTCTTCAGGAAATGTCAGGTAGTTAGCAGGTGGCAGTGAACAAAACATTCCAGAGAACCTGGAAAAATTATATATTTTCACAACCATAAATTCTCTGAGAAGTGTTCCTGTTTTTCCAAGTCCTTGGCATGGAGTTTCAACGGTTGACCAAATTCCAATTGAGTTGCCAATACAGCTGATGGGTTGTTTGTTTTGCAAGCCTTCATTAGAGAAGTGTATGTGCTATCCAATTATTATAAAGGCAGGAGTCTATTGCTAACATTATGTCTACTATTTAAAAATAATACTATATAATAATAATAATAATTGTGTGCTGTCACGTCAATCCTGACTTATGGCAATCCTTTCCAGGGTTTTCTAGAAAGACAATACTCAGTAGATATCTAAACCACAGAGCTATCCAGCCACTATCCAGTTATCCAGCTATCCAGTTCCACTAACAGGAACTAGTATATATTTGCTAATGGGTTTACAGTGGGGAAGGCCTGGGAAGCTGATTCACAGCTTGAAACTCTTCACAATTTTCCTGAATCTTTGTTCTCCTCAAGTCTCTTCTCATTAACTGATGTGGCATATATGTCTGGGAACCCTGGCAAGAAGTAGGGTTATAGTGATTGGGGCTGGTGTATCATCCAAAGCTCCTCCATTAGATTTGAGAGTAGCCCAAAATGAATTTTAAAAATTCTGACACTTGGGTGGAAGGAGGCCTTGGGATGAAGAGCAGACCTGAGTGAAAATCCAGGGCAAGAAGGAGGACAAGAGATTAAATGATTTCATGCACCTAGTTCAAGAGCTGTCACTTCATCCTGGTGGGCAAGGGGGCGGAAGTATTTGCCCTTCATTTTTTTGTTCCTGACAAAGGGCCTAAAGGGATATGTGTATATTGAGGGGTGGGAATCCCTGACAAACCACAATTGACTTTTGTTCCTTATTTCCTCCTGGTTCCTTCCAGGCAGGGTCAGGAGAAAACTGTTTGGAAACACTCTGCAGAGTCATGGCAGCATGTTTTCTATTTGCTCCATGGAAGTTGTGGTATGAGTTATGGAAAGCACAATGACTTCTTCTGTTTATCTGATTCACTAAAGTATCTGTGGACAACCTCTGGAGTTCTGATAGCTCACCCATCCTTGATCTTAGAGAACTCACCTGCTCCTGAGACCCCTATGCCCACCCACCCCCACCATAAAATGGGGCTTTTTCTCTCAAAAAGCCTCCTTCCACCTTCTAGTGGTCATATGTATGTATATATATTTGAATATTTTGAGGGGCAGTTGAGGCTCCAGGAGTGCTGGGAGCTCCTCAAAACTTGGCAAAACTGCCCTAACACTATCTGGGCACATGTGGGCCACATGCTATCCACCCCTTGCACCAAGGGAGGGTAATTAAAAACACCCTCTCTCAAAGACATTCAGACAAAAATACCTGCAGAGGCAAAGTCTCAAATCCAATGTGGGATGTCTTTTTATCATTCACTAGTTCTGAGGATTCCTCTGCATTTTAGAATGGAAGCCCTCCAACCCAATTCAGAGAAGAAAACTCATCCTAGTAGGACTGGAGATATTTTGTGCTCTGTGTGGGTTTTTATGACCACGTATCACTTATCCCCAAATATCTGAGATGGGAAGGAGAAAAAGGCAGAAACAATTTCCTATCACATTAGAGGTCCCTCTTCTTTTTGGTGAACTCACTGATGAGTAGCATGTCCTGGGTCCTTTCCTGAACTGCTGTTACCATCTCTGTAAGCTTTAGTCCAAATGTAAAACCCAGAAGAGGCAGATCTCCATTTGCAGCCCTACTATTCACAATGTTACTTTAAGAAAAACCACAGTGAAAGCTAGAGTACCAAAGTCCCCCACCCCAGGAATTAGTCACACTGGCCAGATTATATAATGAAGTCACAATTCAATGTGCTATAAAACTAACTGCAAAATTATATTGCAAGTTATAATTACAGTATATTGCAGAAGGAGTGCAATTTAGTTATACCTTCATTCCTTGTGGGGGGGGGAGATTAATTATAAACAACTAGCCATTTGTAACAAGTTACTTTCAGGCTGAGGTTTATAGTGGCCAGAATCCTGATGTCCAGATAAATATAAACAGGGTTGGTTCACAGCATTTTGGGAGAACAAATAAGGCAGCTGCTTTGGGTCCTTAGTCCTCCTTGGAAAGATCTATTTTGCACTTCCTGATTTAAACCAAGGTGTAGCAAAGATGTTTATTCACATTTATATTACCTTATGTTTAGAAATAGGCAAATTCCTTTCCTCCTGCAGTTACTGTTATATAATGACATTTTAGTGGGAGTTATATCTGTATCCTTTTGCTGATTTAACATATAAATGTGTTAAGAAGAAAGCTTAGATTTACTCTTATCTTCCACCATCAATATAAATACTTAAAACACAATCTGCTTAGTTGGTCTTTGGTATGTAGCTCCCTCTGCTGGAAACCAGGGTGTTTCACAAAACAGAATTACTTGGCAATGAATCTGGTTTGTTTCCAGAAACATACCTGATATTAATATACAATTCCGAAAAGGAGCTGCTCCTTAAAGAGGCAGGACATTGCCTAGGGAAATAACAGTTGGCTACTCCATCAACTCCAAAGTATCTGGAGTTTGTAGAACTCTGCCCTTTAATAACAATAGCCATGACTTGAAACAAGGTATGTTTTTCACTGATTATTTCATACCAACCCACAAAAACATTTCTCTCCTCCAACATCTTTTTATCAGAAAAGCTGCAGCCGTGTTTGAAAAGAGATGGATTTCATGATGAGGCAAGAAGAAATGTATCCAGGTAGATGCACCATACATGTAGTTTACTACATTGGGCAGAATTTAGATGGTGACATTGATGGTCTGCTCTGCTTTAAAAAATCTAACTATATGCATGATTTCTAAATTTCAGTTCAGTTCTGCGCATTCTGCTATGTTAAGAGGCTTATGTTCCATGCAGTCTAGTGTGGAAAGGTTACAGAGGTATCATCAGATCGGGAGGAAAATCCGGGGAAAATGAAGTTTGGTATGTGAGAGTCTTAGAATCATAGCTAATCATGTGTAAAAGGATACATTTTTGCAATTAATTAATTGGCTAGTTAATTCCCTTTTGTAATTCATATAACACGTCTATACCTTTTATGACCAAACTTATTTGTATACATTTCTGCTATCATGTGTGTGAAATAAAACATCATCTGCGGGAAACAGGTCTTCTCTCTGTATGTGCTTTTCTGGAAAATTTTTTGGTAAAAACACACTGTTGCCAGGGCTCAAAAATCCTTACTGCAGTATCTCAGGGTCTGCATGAGTTCATGTATATGGCTGTAAATGACATAGATTGATACTGTTAAACTAGTGAAATTTGGAAATATGACATTGGTATTCAGATGCACACTCAACTGTGAGTTGTGTGCATCTGTTTCAGATTACAATTATTGATATCACATTATAAAGAATGTGAGCTTGACTGGGCTGAAAACCTTGCTGTGCGAGCCATAGAAGTCTGACCATATCCCGTTTGTGACAGTTATATATTTGGTCCTTTCCCCATCTCATAGCAAATATAACACAAAAAGGTCTCCTTTTTTCTCTTTGTACATTTGTAATAGAAAAACAGGGTATAAATAGACTAAAGTAAATAAAAAATAAAATAAAAGAGCTTTGCTCTCAGGACAGTCAGCTACATAAACTTGCTTATCTATGACATGGGTGAACAAATTACAGAAGGCCAGGGGCTTCACCTGTATCTTGTAAGGGTGCACCTATCCCAGTCCCTCCTCTGATCCCCAGTGTAAAGTTCACTTTTGGTTTTGAAAAAAGCCCTCCAGGCATACAATAGCTCCAGGGTAGAGGTGAATGTACAAAATTGTTCATTAAGCTTCTGTGGGGCAAAAAGGGAGGAGTGAGAGGCAGGGAGCCCATGGGGCTACATGTGTTTCCCCGATGCTACACTACCCACCTGTGGACTGTTAATTTTGACTATGTGGTTTCATCTTAACTGGATGGGAGAATGCATTGAAGGAAAACAAAGACCTTAAAGTGGGAACTGAGAGGTGGAGTAGTATCTGGGGCTGGTGAGACCAGTGACCCACTTCCCAAGATAATTGTGTTTCATGACAAAGTGGTCCTGCTTCTTCTTCATTTATACTACTTCCCCAGCAAACAAAATACAAAACAAACATACATGAAGATGCCAGCCACAGAGACTGGTGAAACGTTAGGAAGAACTAACTTCAGAACACGGCCAAAGAGCTCGAAAAACCCACAACAACCAAACATACATTTTGACTGACTAATTAATTAATTAATTATGTTTTTGGTCGAACATGGTTTAGTCTGAATCATGGTCATCTGAGATTTAATGAAATCCACCTTTGATAGAAAAGCAAAGGTTCAGCTTCCTCAGTTTTCTGTTTCTTGGCGCACATCTATCTTTCATTACTGTACACCAACTATCTAACTGAATTGAGCAAGAAGACTCTGATTACAGTGTCAAATCCTACTCAGAACTTCTTGAGGAACTGAAAACACTACACTATAAAAACCCAAGATGCATTAGTCCACTGACTTAATAGCAGTGGATGAACAAATGCAGCAGGCTGTACCTTTTTCAGCACAAGATTAGAGATTAAAACAACTGACACTTTTTGAGTTTTCAAACTGGATAAATAATTGGGAAGTCAAGTCGTCAGTTACTTGAGAGTGACAGATGGACAGTTTCTATGCTGTTATTTGGAGGGACAAAACTAGCAGAATCAGATTCAGCTAGCAGAATCTCTCAATGATTTGAAGTACCTCTGTGCTTCCAAGTTAGAGGAGTACAGCTCATGTTTTTACACTTCTAGCACTGATCAGTTGCAAAGAGTTACTGCTTATTGTGCCAAAGGTGCCTATTTAACAGTAGTGAGACACAGAAACTCCACATTTTTATTCTAGCTTTTTAGGAAAATTATACTTAATTGGCTGACTTGTTGAAGTATTTTAACTCTTCAAATGAAAGGTTAAAGGCATGCACGGAGTGTTACGTATTGGTCCCGAGTATGTACAATTGCACACATTTCAAGCAGATGTAATATAGCACACATTTGGCTCACAGAAGCACTCCTCAAGAGTTAGTGACATCTACAGGGTAGATCACTTACTCCCTGCTTCATTTCTTCTTCCTAAAGAAAGATTGGACCGTTGTGAGTTATAAGAATCAGAATTTAAACCCAAGGGAAGGAAGCTATACAGGCTTTTTAAAAGGCTGACTTCTGTTGCTCTCCACACTCTATAGTCAAGTCCATCAGAGTGCTTCAATATACAACAAGTGGGGTGATTGTATAGCATTGCACCCTCAAATTAAATGGTATGCCCAAACTGAAAGAACCAAGAGTGTGTCTCCCAAATTTCCTCCAGCACCTCATTTTGATGGTTTCAAAGGTATTATGAGTACAGGATTCATAAACCATAAAGATAGTTAAATAGCTGATACGTTATTCCAAATTATACTTCATGGAAGAAAACATGTTGTGGATAAATAGAGATAAATACCGGGGGCGGGGCGGCGGAAGCAATCCAGAGGTTATGAATTTTTATACCAGTTATTCTAGAGATCATTGGCACTAAAAAGGTTAATGAACAGAGGTGGTATTGTAGACAGCTGGCTACCATAATTACAATACCACCCCTTAGGACATAAAAGAAACAATGAGGTAATTCATTAACTTTACAAAGGGACATTCAAATCTAGTCTCCATGACTTCTGCTTTTGTGGACAGAATGGTCATATTGCAGGCTGCAAAAGGAAACACAGCCACGTGGTATTGATCCGAGAAACAGAAACAATTGATTGTTGAAGCAAATGAAAAGCTATATTCTACAACAAACAAATACAGAGTGAACTCTTCAGGCAAGAAATTAAAACCACCGCAACAGTCTATCTCTATTTAATCCCCCCACCATCCCACCTGCATCGCTACAAATCTCTTCCATGAATTTCTAGGATTTTACCTTGAGCAGTTTCATGAGGCCTTCTAACTGAACCATGAGTTCTCTTCGGCTTTCCTGAAGAGCAGACATCCTTTGTTCCAGCTCATCCTTCCTTTGTCTAAGAAATAAGCATTTAAGATCAGAGCCAATGTGTGACATGAACATGCCATGGAAGCCTTTGTTAACAAGACAACTACAAATAGCTTCCATATTTTTTCCTATACAGAAACATCTTACACGTGAAAAAAAAATACTGCTTTAGTTCAGTCCTCTGGACTACCCATGAAAGAAGCTGAAAATCAGGAATATGGTTACAGATCGGATGCCACCAAGGACTCCAAATCTAGTCTCCAGAATGATCTCCCAACTCTAATGTATATCACTGTTAATGGACCATATATATATTTTCTATTATTATATTAACATTCATCTAATCCTTCTTCCAAGAGATTCATGACAGCACATCTGCTTCTTCCTATTACACCTTCACAACAATCCGTGAAGTACCACTAGGCGAAGGGGTGATTGATCACTATAATATATCCAGCTTCAACAAGTCATTATATCAAATCCAGCCTCCCCATTTTCCTGCATTAAAACACCTGGAAAACTTTGCCAGATATGCCAGGCTACTAAAGACACCAATGGTGCTTTCATGCAGGGCACCGACATCTGTGTTTGTGTAACCTTTCTAGGCTGACTCAGCTTCACAGAAGATATTTCTAGGACCAGGTCATCCAAAGCTATTGATTAGGTCAGTTTCAAGTTTCTTCTCAGAGAACGCATATATCCCAGAGGAATATCTTTGGTTTGTAAAAAATATATATTTTTGTCTTCATATGGATAGCATACAGATAGAAATGAGGCATGACCACCCTAAAAGACAAGTTGCAAGGGGCCAAGGATCTCACTCCACTGAAAACTAGATATGAAGGAGTGGAAGAGTTTCCTTTGTTACAGATGTTTAGGCGGCTGAATTAGATGACCTCTAAAATCATGTACAACTCTGTAATTCAATGAAATGGACTAAAGTATAGCCAAGGGAGAAGACATGAAGAATATGGGGAAAACTGTCACTTAAAATGTTGAGCTCAGAAACACCTCTCCGCCCCCCGGGAAAGTCCTCTTAGGTGGAAAATGACTAATTCCATTGAACCATAAAAGATACACCTCTCAATTCTCCAAGAACAGGCATGTGATGGTATATAAACTAAAGAAGAGCCATATTGGATCAGTCTAAAGACTTCCTTAGACCAGCATTTTGTGCCTACATTGGCCAACTTGATGAGGAGCCTCTGAGGAGCCCAAAGTCAGATATGAAGGCAACAGTAACCCCCTGCTCATGTTCCCTTGCAACTGGTACCTACTAAGGAAACACACAGCCATCATGACTAATAGTCATTTTAGCCTTATCCTGCATGACTGTGTCTGATCCCCTTTTAAAATAGTTTAATGTGGTGGCTCTCACCACATCTTGAGGTAGTTGATGCCATAGTTCAACTATGCATTTTATGCAAACAAACAAACAAAAATCTTTCTTGCACCTGTCCTCTGCATCCAGTCATTTACTCCACCTTCATCATTCTTTTGGGACATTCACATGGGGGAAACAGCTTTACACACTGTGACAAGTAAAATGAAGGTCCAGCCTTATCCTTATATTTACTGCTAGTGAATGTACCTGGCAATTGCTCTGGTTAAAAATCTTTTGAGTCTTACTCTCACCCTGTGTCCCCATTTTTCTCCCATTACCCATTCTTTTTTCTGAACAGTTCTTTTTCTCTCTTCATCATTCAGCTTGTGCCCACTGTGTCTGGACTAGTAGCCTCTTTGCTTCCCTCACTAGTTGCTGCTTCTTTCTTGGCCTATCCCAGTCTTCTTTCTCTCTGGACTTTCTCCCTAACTTTCAGTTCTCATTTTAATTGTCATGGCTCCATCTATGGAATTTTGGGATCTGTAGTTTAGAGTGATCTACTATAGAATAGCCCATTTCCTTGAACTAGAGTAATCTTGAGTGTTTGTCTGTGCTACAGAATTAATCCACAGTCCCTCTCTTCTCATGTTATCTTTGCATTTTAGATCCTTTGTGACACTACATATTCTAGTATTCTTTGAGAAGGAGCCATGACAACTGAAATGGTATGAAACTAATAAAACTGTATGGTGCTCTTAATCTAATTTTCAGTGAAAGCCAGAAACCCAGATAGCTATACATGTATTACAGCTGGAATTTAGGAAAAACCCAGCCAGGTGGACAATAGGACAGTTGTAACCTACAATACATTCTTTTTGTTTCTCTCTGGAATTTATCTTCTGACGCCTCCACTGTTAATTCAGTCTTTCCCTCTTCTGCCTTTCTTTCCACAATCTATCAAGTAACAGGAATTCTCATTCTCATTCTCAGTCTGTACATCTACACATACTTAAGAATTCAACAGACAAGGGAACTGGGTTACATGGAAGAGGGGCCTTTAGCTCTAACAGAACTGAAGTGGCTCCATTGTGTTAGAGGTTTAACATGAAATAGGCTGGTTAGCTCATCCAAAATCAGCTGCAAATCTTTGGAGTAAAGCTCAAGGCTTTCTGAGCTAATTGTTTTAGCTGTCTATGGAGGAGACAAACTTATGTATATGGTCTCTTTGTTTTGTTATTATAGATTGTTTATAAATATAATTGTAAAAAGACTTCATGCCCCAAAGGAAAAATAAGATTTTTTTTTTTAAAAAAACACCCCACAGTTGTAGAGTTTCCTTGATTGTGTGAAACTGGGCATTGTTTTCTTAGTTTGTATATGAAGCCAATCAGAACACAAACAAAAATTAAATATAGTCTAACAAATTCTAACATAAAATGTACAATGAATGTACAACATATGTACAATGAAGAGGCATAATCAAAACACTGGTAGACCGTGCAAATCGAAACTGTGAAGCTCAATTTCTTAGCACTGAACTCAACCATCTGAATTGGGCCCTACAGGCAAATGGCTACTCAAAAAATGAAATCACAAGAGCCATCAAGCCAAGAAAACAACACCAAACTGTAGAGGAAAAACAGCTGCCCACAAATAAAGTATTTCTGCTATACATCAAAGGGGTCACGGACCGCATGGGGAAACTTTTGAAAAAACACAACCTACAAACATTATTCAAGCCCACCACAAAAATACAACAAATGTTATGGTCAGCAAAGGACAAAAGGGACCCCCTCACCACTGCAGGAGTATACAGGATACCTTGCAGTTGTGGCCAGGTATATATTGGAACCACAAAATGCAGCATCCACACCAGAATCAAAGAACATGAGAGACACTGCAGACTAAAACAATCGGCAGTAGCTGAACATGCCCTAAAACAAGCTGGACATGAAATTCTATTTCAAAATATTGAAGTACTGGACAACACCGGCAATCATTATGTTAGACTGCACAGGGAAGCCATTGAAATCCACAAACACTAGCAGAGCTTCAACAAAAAAGAAATAAGTTTAAAATTCAACAAAGCCTGGCTCCCAGCACTGAAAACTACAGCCTGCTAAAGGTCAATGAACTCAACCCAGCTACAAGGACTGGTGATCACTGCACACAAAGGACCAACTAACGACACTTATCAATCACAGTGACAGATAATCTCTCCCCGTTATCACAACAATACACCCACAACAAAAACATACTGATCCCCACAATCACCCATCTCCTGAAAAGGACAAAAGTTGATCCCACAGCTATAAATAGTCAACTATCCAAACAAATTGCACCAGAGCACAGAGTTCTGAGTCCTGTCCTCTGAAGATGCTGGCCACAGAGACTGGCGAAATGTTAGGAAGAACAACCTTCAGAACACAGCCAAAGAGCCTGAAAAACCCACAACAACCATCATGGTATGTACAGATACTAGATATATCTTTTTACCTAAGGAGCCGAAGTTCTGCCAAAAGTGTAGGATTCTGAGCTGCCTTCTCTGGAGTGGGCTGAGATGCCTGCTCATGTTCAAGTCTCAGCCTGTGGATCTCTTGTAAAATTTCTCTTACAAAGGAAGAGAAAAAGAAGAGGTCAGTCATCCCTCTGTTTTTAATGAGTAACAACATTTTTTCAGTAGTGCCCCCGCAATCTGTGGAAGGACCTCCCGAAATGGATCCAACTGGCACTGTTATCTTGTGACATATAAACATTTTAATAAAACAAACAAACAAAAAGAATAAATGAGCAAATAATATTCTACTGATTTAAAGAATTAAAGGGAAAACTCCTGGAAACCGTGACCTTGTGGGAGCTTCATATATGCAGAGAAATGTCTGAGTAATCTCACCTTTTGAAAGCAGCCCCCACCCTTCTACCCCCTCTAGTTCAGAAGTAAAACTTGATACAGTTCATTAGTCAGAAGTGACTTGATAACATACAGTAACAGCAATAACTTTCTCTTAAGACTTAAGCAGAATCGAGGGCCACAAATTGGGAAAAGTTCCGATCATACCACAGTTTCTATAAGCTTATTTCTGAACAACGATGATACTATAACTAAACCTGTGTATTAGTAACTGCAATAAACAGGTTTCAGAGGTCTCTGTCTACCCCATGAAGTCTAGAACCTGCAGAATAATATCAGAATTTTCAAATTTCTAATTCTGTGGTGATGTCATGAAAAAGAACAGAAACAAACAGCAGTCCAAGTGTATTACAATAGCCATATGATGTCCTAATGATATGTTCAACACTACATAAACTCTGTCTGAACCCTATCTGTCCATGTGTTTTTTAATATTCTGCCTCACATACTGAGTCCACAATAAATGTAAAATACAATAAATTGATGAGAAAATGCTTACCTGTTTTTATTTTCAAGTTCTGCAATAAGCTGTCGTTGTTGCTTATTTGCATCAATAGAGAATGATATATCTGGAGCACCTCTCTGCTGTGTTTGTTGTTGTGGCTGCTGGAAGACAGATTGGTCATTGTTATGAAAAATGGCAAGGAAATGTATTTCTGAATTGCCTATCAGCCAATTGTGTGTGTTGCAACCAAATATAGCTAAACCCATTGCAGACCTTCCAGCCATTATTTGTTTCTTGGGACATGCATGAAGTATCGAACACTTGAAATTTGCTATATAAATACCAACAGGTAATAAAAACATGTGCTTACTGTGTTACTGTTGTGTAGGAAGGGAAAGGACTAAATTAATATCAGACACAACGTCCCCTGGCCTTCTAGAAACCATCTAGAGATTTTTTTTTCTATAAAGTTTGCTGCAGTTTTGGAAGTGGTGGAAAGGAATCACATCTGAACCTGGTGGACCTAGAATTCTGCCTTGTCCTCTTTCTCAACAAGCCTAACAAATAAACTAAGAAGAAACCATAGATTATTTATCTGGCAGCTACAGTTGGCCAACATGCATCCAGTACAATTATTCATTTACAACAAGCCGCAACTAATGACTGAATATACCTCTCTTTCTCACTCCTCGTGTTCAGTATAGAGGATTATAATACTTCATAGTGTTGTTGTAAGGGTTCTGAGATAATGTATGCACTGAATTTCAGCATTCAAAATATGCTTTATAAATACCAAGACATATTAAATACCTGTGCATATTATGGGATGTTTGTATAAGAAGTCAGTTATGGAAATAACTGTGACAAAACAATGGTTCCTGCAATGTGAGATGGATGTACTTAGGAAGCACAGATAACTGCTAAGGAAACACAAAAATTCTTGGAATCTATTCAAACATGTATTAATTGATACAAGCAACATTTAGTGCTGAGAGATACAGTCCCAGGAAAGGATTTAAGATGTGATATTCAGCACTCTCAAAACATTCTGACAGGATAAAAACTTTGGTAAGGATTGTAAACATATGAATGTATGCAACATATTTCCCACTGGAAACCTTATGCATAAAAGCCTTTTTGTTTGTTTATATATTGCATTTATTTTGCCCTGTGGAGAACAAAAACAAAAACAAAAAACAAAACCACAGAGATGAGGAAGATAGCCACTGATGATATGAGTCCTGGGCAGCCACTATATTGGTGTAACGTAGTCATGATTCTACACTGTTTCAGCAACAAAATCAAAAACATGGCTCAAGTAATGTAGGGCAACAGAGGATGAAAGATCATTGACAAGAGTGCTCACAGACCTCTTGTCAATTCTGTTGCAACACACTAACTGCAAGCCATCACTTACGTTTCCACAATGCCTTGCCTGAAAGACACAAATCTACATCATAGGATCAGCTCCATATTTCCTCCCACAAATGATTATAATCTGAAAGAGCCAGCAGAATCTTCCCTGCCTGAGACATCAGGAAACAAGGAGCAAAATGCCTCCCTGTAGAGCAATGACATAACAAATAAGAATCCTTTCTCTAGGAGAAGGGCTTATGTCCTTCTGCTGGACCAGAGGCTCTACTCAAGCAATGTTAAATGCACAAAACTGTACTGAAGCCTGTGGGGCTGGGAAGAACCTTTTTACAATACAGAGAAATGGTGTGACCATATAAGAAATAATGCAGTCAAAAGACCAAGGGTGCAGGACAAAATACTATGACCTGGGCCACAATTTTCTGTAGGTTCTGCTGAATTCAATGGTTTTTTAAAAACAGATACAGGATTGTGTATTAGCTGGTAGCTTGAAGGGAAAGTGCAATGCAACAAGAAGCAGAAGATGACAGGTCAAGCACATATTTTGAAGGCACAGATACCACCTTCACAAAGAAAAGCCTACCTTTGGATGTCTAGCAACAAAAAGGAATTTTGGGATAGAAAGTGAGAAGCAGTGGAACTAGACATTCAAGTCAAGAAACCAACAACTTACACCACACAGTTGTTGAAGCAGACACAAATAGGACAGAGAGACAGACTCCAGGACTGAGTTCGTTTGTAGAACCCAAAGCCCCATCAGCTGTAGCCAAGTGTGAAAATGAACACATCAAATTAATATCCAGACAAAAATAAAAACAAAATCAAATGTTGTACCGTCCTAAAGACTAATTGTTTTATTTCAATGTGAGCTTTCATGGATACTAAACTTCAGATGTATATGACATATAATAATCTTTAAGATGCAACAATGTTTTCGTGTTTTATGTTTTGTTTCTATTTTTGTCAGGATATGCTTGTCTAAACTAACCCCGCTACTTCCTTGAAAACTACAACTAGAATTTTACAATTCTGAACTCAGCAATTGTTTAGAATACCAAAACTGAACAAACTGCATAGATCTTCCATAGAAATTCTGCTTGTCCCAAGCTTTATGTGAGCAGTATAACTAACAGCAACCAACATTTATGGATGGGTTATTTTACTGCCACTATTCCTTGATAACCTAATGCAAATCACTCTCTCAGTGGATCTAGATCAACTTCCTTTCCTTCTCTGAGATAAAGGACCTCTTAACAGATACAGTATTTCCCAAGCACCTAGCCACAGCAAGCCCTATTTGTTCTCTCTAGGTCTATCCATGGATCACAAGAACTCCAGAAGAACATGGAAGGGGCTCTGTGTTGAGTTCTGCTGCATGGAAATATCACAATAAAAGCAAAAATGTAGAAGAGTACATACCTGAGATGGAGCAGTCATTTATTTTGTGGCTATCATTAATTGCCAGACTTATTTGAAGACCACTTAAATAATTTTGCACAACTTTTTCACTCCATTTAGCTATACTTCCCTCATGTTAATTACATTGATAATATCTGTGATTATTTTCTTAATTGTAGTATCTCTTCCTTCCTCCACATCATAAAAGGTATACCATTTGGTTTATGACATCATTAGTAACCAAGGAGAACACAGAAAAACATGTGGCTGGTGGGTGCCATTACTGTAACTTGGGTTTAAGTGAAAAATGTAGATTCTGCTCTTGTGAAATACTACGAACATTAATTCATTACTTTATTTCCATTGAGAACTACCATTATACCTGAGGTGAGTGACAAGAAGGGATGGTCTGTCTCCTTACTTTATTTATTCAATTTATACCCTGCTCATCTAGACTGAAGCCTACTCTGTGTGGCTAACAACAATACATAAAAGTAAAAGCAATTAAAAATAAAAGCAACAGTATTAATATAATTTAAGACAGCCAATAATAGATTAGTTAATGACAGGAGGGAAGGCCTGTCTAAAGAGCCAGGTCTTAGGTTTGCTCTTAAAAACACCCAGCGAGGGAGCCAGCAGATTTCTGTGGGTAGACTGTTCCAGAGGAGAGGGGCCACTGCTGAGAAGGCCCACTTTCTTGTTCTTTCTCTCTGGGCCTCCCTTGGTGTGAGACCCCTCAGCCGCACATCCTGTCTAGAATGAGTAATTTGGGTAGATTTAGGTGGGAGAAAGTGTTCCACTAGATGTCAAGGTCCTAAACCATTTAGGGCTTTATAATTAACACCTTGAAATCAAAGCGGAAATGAATGGGCAGCCAATGCAAGGCAGCCAGAGTGGGGGAAATATGCTGATATTTTCTTACTCCAGTGAGAAGTCTGGCTGCCTCATTCTACACCATTTGAAGCTTCCGCATCAATCTCAAAAGTAGCCCCACGTAGAGCACATTACAGTAGTCTAATCTCGAGATTACAGGCACATGGACCAGAGTAGTGAGTGCCCCAACATCAAGATAGGAACGCAGCTGGGCAATCTACCAGAGATGGAAATAGGTGGAGCGGCATTGGTTTCATCCAAAAGGACCTGGAGCTGGTCAGCCATCACCCCCTCTGCCACTTCGCTCAGGAAGGAAACTTTGGCGACAGGCCTACTGTATAGTTGCTAATGTTGTCTTCTGCCAGACTTGATTTCTTCCTGATGGGCCTAATGAGTGTCTCCTTGAGGGCAAGGGGAACATTTTGCCCTTCTGGAGAGATCCATTCATTATTGCAATGCCCCATTCAGTTGTTAAAGGCCTGGCTGCTTTGATTAGCCAGGCTGGGCAAGGGTCAAGGGAGGAGGTGGTGGTATGACAGCGGTCAAGTGCTTTGTCCACCATATCTGATGTCACAGGGAGAAAGTGATTACATCTGTGACAATCGCCCATGTCACTCATGCCATTCATATTCATGAGCTGATTTGCATGAACCCATGAGAGGACAGGAGAGGCAGAGGCAGCAGTTACATGAGGTTTGGCAGGAAAAGGAGGAGTCAGAGATAGGGCTGATTAGTCAGAGAGAGCGGGAACAAATACTGAGAGAGATAAAGCTGATTAAGAAAATAGGTAGAGAAGGTGGTAATGATATAGCAAGAGAAAAGAAGTATGTTTACTGAGAGAATGGTTGTTGATTTGCTTGTGTATAATACTTATCTGAAGAACTGTTATTATTCAGTCTGCTTCACTTCAATAAATAAGTTCTGTTTCTGTTCACAAGTCAAGTGTTTAGACAAATGTCATTTATATTGTGGATTGAGATAATCCACTGGTGGCAGCGAGAGGAAAATGTGATGTGAGCCTTTGCAAGGGAAAGACAAGCAGGGGCCACAAGGGCGACTGCCACAATTGGTGTCCAGTGGCGAGATACGAAATAATCCAGTAAAGCCAAAGTTTAAGGGTGAATTTTCTGGAGTCGTGGGTACCTTTTAG